CTCAAATCTGGCCCACGAGATCCACTTTCCTGCAGAGTTTAGCTCTAACCCTAATCAAACACACCTGAGCATGCTAATCAATGTCTTCAGGATCATTAGAAAATCACAGGTAGCTGAGTTTGATCAGGGTTGGAGCTAAACTCTGCAGCGCATTGGAGCTCCAGGGTAAGATTTGAGGAACCCTGCTATAAGGTAATAACGTTATGTGTTTGAACCAAGGGCTCATGCACTATTTTTGAGGGGGCACTAACGTTAGTCAAAAACCCCCATTTGCTGTTTACACAGTGAAATGCATATCTTGCATCGTATGCACATCTGCACTTCGTTAATTGTTTCTGATCGAGTTAATTCTAGATCTGAATTCAGTCAGTGATGCGCGCAGTGAACAAAACTCCTCAGCGATGACTCATCTGATTTGAATTTAGCAGCTAGAGTTATAAAAAATATTATTCGGCTATTTTTGAACAGCCTCCTCCGCCCAGAATCATAAACATGAAATACTCCCACTGTGCTGTTCTTAAAGGAATCCAATTATTTGGTGCAAAATGGTGCATGAAGCAGTGCTGTGTTACCCGCTTCAGTGTCCAGATAGCATAGCTTCCATAGAAGCTAGAACGTCTGACCATTTGCACGAAAGAGCTCACATGGTATGTCAAAATGTACTTATTTGATTACTAACACAGAAAAGTCTTAAATATTTAATTGTATGTTATAAGGAATGTATAACAAGGGCATGTCATGACCCCTTTAAACTTTGTTTCCAGGTTTGAATTGGATTTAAACCAGATTTTAAAACTGGACTCAGACTTCTGAACAGCAGCGTAAATCTGATTTTGCTGTGTGATAGTCAGTGACCAGACGTTATCTTGGAAATTTGCCATACAAATAGTAGGGTACATGCTCTCCGGGGGATAGTCAGGACATGGACCAGATTTACAGACAGGAAGAGGAAAGGCAGGCTGGGAAATAGGTTGGAGAGCAGAGGCTCTGCCCTTCACTTGCTGGTGCTTCAGAGAACCTTTTTATCTGCAGAAAGGAAGTGAACAAAAATATAGGAGGGAATTCGGGTGTCACTGATTGGGGGGTTTTGGGTCCCCCTCAGTTCCGTTCACGCGGGGCCCACTCAAGTGTGGGGTTGCACCCCCCTAAGGATGGCCCTGCATCTTAGCAAACAATCTTAACATTGATCTATTCTCTTCGCACTTGACTGACATTTGCTGCTAACAGAAGAGGTCAAATTCAAGTCATAGTTCAATCAAATATAATTGATAACATTTTATGTCTCACACCTATGCTGAATATTTTCAGGTTGAATGATGCCATCTTGAGGTTGACCAATGATATTGCACTATCAAAAAATTAAATAATAATACAATTGTTTGTTTGTTTGTTTTGTTCAGGGGTGCCCAAACTCGGTCCTGGGGGGCCAGTGTCCTGCAGAGTTTAGATCCATCCCTAATTAGACACACCTGAACCAGCTAACCAAGCTCTTACTAGGCATTCTAGAAACCTCCAGGCAAGTGTGTTGAGGCAGGTTGGAGCTAAACTCTGCAGGACATCGGCCCTCCAGGACCGAGTTTGGGCACCCCTGGTTTTGTTTGTTTTTGGGTAAGACATTGTAACGAACAAAACGTTGCTTGGTTTTATTATTGTAGTTTCACTCCAATTTTCTTGTTGGTTTCATAGTGTGATGTATTTGGGTCACGTATTGCCTGGAGGTAACCGGACATATAAGCCCGATCACCATAGAGTAATTCAGTTTGTTTGGTAGAGGGAAACCATTTGGTTGAACTCATGCTACCGGCTTGCTCTATGAAAGTCCTTGGTTGAGAACTCTTGAGTTTCTGCTCAGCTGTGAGTATAGTTTGGTTTATTTACCTGACAACATCTGTATATTGAAGGTTACTGATGTCAGCCATTTGCTTTCTTTTTAGAAAGGACTTTATTTATCTATGTCTACACTTGTCTGTTCTACAAATGATTGCTTTCTTCGTGTGTAATTGACTGGATGCATCTTAAATCACCTCTGGGTACGAGGTGGGGGTTCATCCAATGCGTATGGACACAGGGCAGCAACACCCCGAACGCCAACGACACTGTGGGTTATAGGAATACTGCATCGCACTCAAATAACTTTGTGGATTAAAATGTCATCTCAAAACTCATCAATTCTCGTACTTCAACTGTACATGGAAAGATAAGTTTATTTCAAATCACTGACGGAGTTAAAAGACAAAGTGCATTTAAATTGATTAGGGTTTATTTGTTGGTTATTGCACCTGTATGTGTATATATACACACTTGTGGGAAAAATAAATTAGGATACAAAGATCATTTGTGTTGTGAAGAGTATTTTAATCAGTACATGTTGAAAATCTGTTGAACCCCTCAGAGTAACAGCTTTAAAGAAACGAGGTGTTACAACATTAAAGAGTGACAGATTTATTGGAGAAGTGAAATCAGACTCAAACCTGTGTCATCCACATGAGCAGTAGCCTACAGTTCAATATGCCAGTATGTTGCACCAAAGCTCTGATAT